TTGAAGCAATCAGGGAAGGGGCGGAGCCATCAGAACAACCTGACAGTCCAGAGGTGGAGGGAGGCGGCTGCCACGACAACAGCAACAGCCCCGGCTGAGGCTGCAGCCAAGGCTGGCACTTGCAGGAGATGGTGGGGAGGGCCGGCCAGGCTCGCCCAGACACTCAGGACGGCAGGCAGACAAATGCACGGGCCCGCGGCATCAGCTTTGTCCCTCAGCACAGGTGTGATGCATCTAAAAATGCATCCTGCCTTGAAGTGAGATATGACAACCAAGTATGCTACAAATGACCCCCGAGAGCCTCTGCTACTCATAGTGACGCTAACTCTTGGCTAACACTTCTAGAGAAAATTACCTATGGAGAAAATGATTAATCAAAAAAAAATTACAGTCTTCCAATAAGATTCAGGAAAACCCTCAGCCAATAGTTGTTGCAGAGATAATTGTTCTGAATCTATCAATAAACCTAGGCTGCCCCTTCATTGACTGCAAACACCAATTTCTTTCACCGGGATTATAAGTCGGTGTTCATGGGCTCACTACTGCCATTACGGTGATAAACAGTTTAAACCACAACAGGATCTGACATGTAGATCAATTCTGGGTCCATAAAGAATCTACACAAGAGGTTCCAGGACAGGAATTTACAGCCACCAGTTTTTATTCTCTCTTGCTGCAAAAATTACTTCTGTCAAACACTTAGGAGAGTGAGAAAAAATGTAAAAAAATTAATTTTTCATGTATTCCTGGAACGGCCTTTTTCAATGCAGAAGCTCAAGATGAATATGTTTCTGCATTTAAAAAATTACACCGAGCAGCATGTGGTACTCAGTCGAAGAGGGATCCAATCCTCGTAGCGGCTCGCGAGCCGGCAGACAGCAATTTGAAACCCTGAACCGAGCTGTCTGGATTTTCTCTAAGGGCAGATGTGGGTCTGATGTTAGCAACGCCAAATTATATTAGACATTTAATTTTAAACCCCAGGTACTTCGATGTAAAACCTTACAACAGTAGTAGTCATAAAGCAGGGGGCATTCCGTTTCACAGACTGGGGTCTTCTTTTCTTGTCCCCTTAATTTAATCGGCACCTCCTGTTTTGTAGGTTGCCCACTACAAAGGAATTTATCTAATTAGGAGTCGCTCATGGCGGCTTGAAAGACAGAAACCCTGGGGGTACCGGTGTGTCTAGAGGGGAAGACTTTGAAGACTTCTATGGAGCCAAAGTCTTAGGGTGGACAAGGGGGCGAAGAAACACTGAATCCTAATGTTGTTATTATTATTATGCTTTGCAATGCAAGTGCGCGACAACGGGAAGGCACACACGCCAGCACGTGGGCGTTCGTATTCACGAGCTGCTCGGCTCCCCCCATTCCTGCTGCTGGCGTAGAGCAAGCTCTGTAGGACTCTGAAATCCAAACCAGAGACTGGGTGGGGGGTGGAGACAGTATGATTAAAAAAAGAAGGGAGGGGACATGTATCAACTGCCACTTAAAAAGAAAAAGCATGACAGAAAGCCCTTAATCATGTTTGATTCTTTTGTGATTATTTTCCAAGCACTGCAGGGAATGTTTATGCCAAAGTTGAGGTCTTGAAATTCACCCGTAAACACGTTTTCTTGAAGTTGCCCATCGGATCCTGCGCCCTGGTGTTCATTGGAAATGGCTGGGGCCACTCGCTGAGTCCATGCACCGAAGGCGAGGCTGGTGCTAACAGAGGGAGGCCGGGACAGCACCCTCGGCACGGGCAGGCAGGCCTGTATCCAGCAAGTCGGGCTGGAGCCTGGGGCTCTGCATCTCTAGCTGACTCCCAGGAGCTGTCAGATGCCCTTGGGTCTGTGGACCACACTTTGGGAAGCCAGGATTTGGAGTAGTTCTCAAACATTGGCATGCAATGTGATCCCACAGAGGGCTTGGTAATTCACGGCTGCTGGGTCCTGTCACCTGAGTTTTGGATTCTGGGTCTGGAATGGGGCCTGAGGATGTGCATTTCCAAGCAGTTCCCAGGGGCTGCCGCTGTTGTCCAAGAAGCGCACCCTGAGAAGCAGTGACGGAGAGTGAGGCCTGGAGTCAGGCACGTTACCAGGACGTGACTTTGGATGAGCAATATCCAGCCCTTCCATGCCGGAATCGCCTCACCTGTGCAATGGAGCTAACGGCAGGACCGACTCTGTGATGATTGGATGAGATCATCTACAACAAACCCTCAGTAAATATTAATTCACTGTCATTAATATTACTATCATCGTTTCCCTTCTCAAAAATATTGTGGGTATGACATGAATTAGCCCTTAGGAAATGCAGACATGAAGGAAGTTGCCTGCACAACCGCAGGAACCATACTTCTGTGCGCCACTCTGTTGTCTTTCCGGATCTTTGTTCTTTAAAAGGTCAGCTCCGAGTCTTAAAATAAGATGCCAGTTTGGCAGTGTTGGCCTCTCTCTCCTCGCTGTGCGGCACCCCAGCCAACACCACTCACCGCGCTGAGGCTCCTCCGCTGCTCCACTTCCCTTCCCTCCTCTCTGAGTCTTTGTCCACATTGCCCCAATGCTTATAATAACTTCCTCCTGCTGTTTTGCACAAAAAAATCCATCTGGTTCTTTAAGCACCGCTCAAGTTTGATTCTCTTAGGGAAGTTTTCCTCGATTAATTCTATCAGTCCTTACGCTACTTGCACAGCTTGAGCCCTACAGCCCCACCCGGGGTGCTAGTAGGCTGACTCCCGGGGGTGGCCGTGGGGGTGGGCACACACTCGTGTTCCTTATCCCTCGCATTCAGGATTCAAGAATTGTGAGGTCAGGGAGCACCCTGGTCTTTAATGGACACCCATGTATGTTAATAGACAAGAAATTGCTTTGTAAATATAAAAACAGCATCCACATGTAGGTGACTTCTGTCTCATACGGGCACTGCAGAAATACTTGAGTATAGACCGACCCAGTCCCCTTCCATGGAAGGAGACTTCCCACCAAACCAAGGGTCTGGAAATAACGGAGTCATGATTTGGCGGTGTGGAAACGCCCACTGTATACATGTAGCGCTAGACACAAATAGCTGTAGGGAAAAGTTATCCAATGAGTCTTTATCAAAGAAAGAAGTGTGCAAAAGGAAAATTTGAACAGAATGGATTTTAGATCAATATGCTACTTCAAATGCCTTTGCTATAGAAATATTCTGAGAGTAGGAGGCAAGGATTCGGGGTGATGGGTGCTTTTAGGAACTTGTTTTTCAAGTCCCCCGTCCTGAATATAATTCCTGCAGCACAAAAGGAATAGAACCAAAAAGCTGTCACTCTGATCAGATTGTGTTGGCGCCTTGGTGATTCTGCAAGGAGGAAAGCCTTAGAACACAGAAGCTGCCTGGCAAGGCAGGACCCGTCCACGTCACACACGCGCCAGGCTCCGGGGAGGCCTGGCCTGGAGCACCCCACGCCCTCGAAAGGGGCTCTGCATGGGTGCACCTTCACAGGAAGGTGGTGACAGAAATAAACCTTACTAGCAATATTAATGATAATCAATATTTTAAAGTATTTGATAATGAAGTAATTAAATATGTGAACTACTTGCTCTTCCTAAAAAATAACCACGATAATATTAATAGTTGATATTTGGTAGAGGAAGCCACGTACCATGTGTCGTGCCGCATGGCTAATGACTACTCAAGGGAGGGAGAACATGCCCACTGAACAGATGAGAAAACAGAGGCTCATGGAGGTTAGGGCTGTTGCTCAAGGCTGCCCGGTCGGCCGGTGGAGGGGCTGTGGCTGAAGCACACAGCAGGCTGATGGAAGGTTGACCAGGCCTTCTGGGGCAGGTGAGGGTTATGAAGGGCGTAAACTGTAGGAGGTTAACTTATAATGACTTGAAATCCCCTTCACCGGGGTTCTCAAGGTATCACGGTGATTGCAGAGGAAAGGCGGAGAGGAGGCTGCAGGCAGACCTTGCTATCTGCCAAAGCGCCTTCTTTCGAGTGAGGCGGGAGCCCAGGAGCTGGAAATGGGAACAGGACGGGCCCAGCGCAGCAGGTGACGCTGCAGGTTCGCTCCCAGCCGCAGGCTGTCCCAGACCCGCAACGCCGAGGCAGCCTCTGGAGCCGCCGCCCCTGACCGCACTTGGTCTAGAGATGTCTTCCACTGAGGCTCTTGCGTGGCAGCATCTGCCGGAGGAGTGCGGAGCAACTCGAAATAAGGATGATGTTTACCCAAAGCAAACGTCCTGCTGCCGCAGCTGGTGGGTCTACAGGGAAGACCTGATGCTGAATCTTTTAATTAGAACAAATTACGCTAAGATTACTCTCAAACCCTGTCTGATAGATTACATACAACAGTGGGAATTCCTTTAAATACCGGTGAACAGGCCACAGACGAAATGCCACAGGCAAAGCATGCCGCAGCCAGCCAGTGTGCCCTCAACGCTGCTTAATTCATGTTTTCACACACGCCTCGAGACAGTTGCCAGTGTGCACATGCGTTTCCCAAGGAGCTGGCCACGCTTTTCGGAAAAAAAAAATGCTGAAGGAAGTCTGGGGCCGAGGGATTACGGAGGAGACTCTCCAGAATTTAGAGGGTATGCCAGGAATTCTGGAAAATGGTCAAGGAGAATGAATTAACCCTAACGATATAAAATGTGTGCTAACAGGGTAAGTGCAGGCCACGCCGTGTATGGCAGTGTGATCGGGGACATAAAACCGGATGTTACTTCTCAACTCCACCACCTTCGTATCACGTGACCCTGGGTAAGCCACTCGCCCTGTGCACAGCCTCAATTTCCAAATCTGTCGAATGGGGATGAACGTCTATCGCCTGCACTAAAGAGAAACACATGAGATGGCGTGGGCGAGACAGCTCCACAGATGGAAGACGAGACGTGCCCTGCTGCTGCAGCGGCCCCACGGGTGCTGTGCTCCGAGCGGAGCACGAAAGCTTGGGGCATCACGTCCAGCCCCTGGCTGACAACAGAGGACGCTGAAGTGGCCGCGGGTCCGTGGGGCTGTGCCCCCTCTTACCACTGCTGATGGCCGAGTTTGCAATGACCGTAGCCTCACTCCACTGGTCGGCACTGGAGACTGAGTAGGAGCGCTGGTGCATGCCGTCGGGTCGGCTGTTGAAGGAGACCAGGCTGATGCCGCTTGCCATCTGAGACCCAGATGCACTAGTGACATTCCCTAGGAATAAACAAGTCAGGTGAACACCACGGCGGACTGCGGCCCACAGAAGCCAGCACGAGTCAGTCTAGGGGCCTGTGTGCTGGCACACGATGTACCTTACCACCGAGAGCCGCCCTCGTCTTGCCTACCCGGACAATGGAGGCAACAGACAGAAACATTCGAGAGCAATGAAAGGGTGACGCAGATCTTGATGGCGCTTGACAGAGCAAAGTGAAGGGACCTGGTGCTCAGGCGACTGCACACAAGACAACCCTAAACAAAGACACGCAGCCCAACCGTGATCTCTAAACCGCGTGGAAGTGAAGACAAAAGACCCCATCAGTCCTGGGAAAAGCACCCGGCAGGCCAGCAAGAGGGTGAGACAGGCGTCCGCGGTGTCGCCTTACCAATGGCACTGAAAATGATCACCGATTGGGAGTCAACTGCCTGGTGCCCGCAGATTATTTTCATGGTGAAGCTATGCTTTATGATCAACACAAATCAAAGTCCCTAGACACGACACGGAGGGGACGCAGACTCTTAAACCAGGTAAGTTTACTCTTAACCTTGAAAAGACTAAGCAGAGGAAAAATAACCTTAGCGACTTCCTAGCGTACATGGGCCGTGATGAAAAATGATTCCATTGTATACTTAATGATTTGAATCAGTTGCTCAACATCAAAATGAATTATTATCTGGTCACACCAATTTTAGACTCAAAAACATAATTAAGTGCCTTTCTCTAAAGCTCAGCCAGTCACACCTTGCTGCCGGGGAATTAGTCTGTTCGCTCCATACGCAGATCTTCAGAGGTATTAGGGCTTTTTATTTTATTTTTTTTAACTTTCTTCCGATTGTTTTAGTTCAGAACTAATTAAGTTCTAAACTGTTTCAACAGAAGTTTTTCACAGTACAAGATTTTAAATACGCAGCCACATTAGTCGTTCCTAAATGCGGCCAATTACCAGAATTTCCCGTGGAGCTTTTTAAAAATAGAGGCTTCAAAACATACAGATTTTGATTCAGAAGCTCTGGGGCTAGGGAGAATATGCATTTTCAAAAGCACTCAGGTGGTTCGGGGAGCAGCCGGGGGCAGGAAGCAGGGCTCTCCTCACGGGAGCGACCTCACCGTAGTCCCGCGCAGCGCCGAGAGCCACGAAACCACGTCCCGACACGTGCGCGAGCAGCACAGCAAATAAGCGATTGACGAGAAGGAAGGGTTTAGCTTTTAAAATACATTCCTACCTTGAAAAAAAGATCCCTGTTTTATGCTGCTGTCTGACTGGGTACATTCTGAATTTCACGAGGGAAATTATTCATAGATGGTCTACCTGGTTCCAGAAAACAGCCACAAGTGACACCCAGGAAGGCCACGGATCTTCCCAGCCAGAGAGCGGTCCCTGGACCACCAGCAGGCATCGTGAGGCACGTTAGAAAGGCAGAATCCCAGCACCTGCCTTTTCGTGAGGTCCCCAGAGGAACTGTGTGCCCACTGGAGTTTGAGTGGACGTGCTACAGAGCTCAGGTTAATTAAAACAACGAGCACTCACACTGGAGAATAACCACCGCAATGCAACAAAAACTAATCAAAGCTCTGCACCACCACCGACCACTGTTACCAAGGCGCTCAGGCCTTGGCACCCAGCTCAGGTGTTTGCTTATTCCCCATCACACCCTCCAGACCCCACGCAGCTCTGATGTTTTAAGAGCTTGATTTGAGGGCTCAGACGAGCCCTAACCCTAGAAATGCACAGGGCTGCTCCTAGTCCCACATCAGCGTGACAGGGCTGCGCCGATCTCCCACTCCTGTGCTTATACCAAGCCTCCAGCAGCCATGCGAGGTGGGTTAGGCGCCTGGCACTAGGGGAACACCACATGTTCCTCTCAGATTCTCCATGTGCCACCATGGAGGCTAACCCGTATCCGTCCTATGGGTCTGGGACATCTTGGCCAGGTCCATATTACGACAGGGCATTCAGATCCCACGGTGGGCAGCAGTCCTGCAGAGCAGACGAGATGCTCCCACCTGCAGGGGCGTGGCTGGGTCTCCTCCTGCAGCCTGTGTCTCCCGTGTTCCTGCTGCACCCCTTCTCTGGCCTGCTTCCCTCCCGGGCAGGCACCCACATAGGCTGCATTCACCCATTGGCTCCAGCACCTTCTGCCTTCTCTCTGGGCACAAGCAATGGGGACCACAGTGGGAATGGAGTGATATGGGGGTTTGTGCCTGGGCTGCCTCCCTGAGCAGGCTTCCTAGAGTGCCCCCACTCTCTCCTTGGCCTTTGGGGCCTGTGGGTGGTCCCAGCACCACTTCTGCCAGCCCTGCTGCTGCACTGTCCCCTATGCTTCCTTTCCCCACAGGGACCCTGACCCCACACACCCACCCACTGAAGCAGCTTTGGGGAATTGGTGCCTCCCAAGAGTGGCTTCCAGGGCTCCCTTAGCCCATTCCTGCTTTCATCACCTGAATTCCAAGCAAACAAGGCTTCAGGACATTGCTAACATTTTCATGGGTGAAAGGAAATGAGAAAGGTGGGAAAAGAATCGTGGAAAAGAACAATGAGAAGATACATGCAAGATACATGAGACACCGCCTTTACTGTGACCAACCGCTATGCCAGGCTCCTCTGAGCCCGTCCCACCTGCAGGGACACTTGCCATGTGGTGAAAATGTCAAGGAGATGATTCCTTCCTCACTATAATGCCCATCTGGACCTCTGACAAGTCATTATCAACTGTGGAATCTGCCCACAAATTTCATCTTATACCAGCTTTAGGCACATAAGGTCCAAATACCTGAAAACCAAAAAATAATTTCTGTCCATCCATCCATCCATCTTTGGTTTGACGATGACGATATGGCACTTAATATAGCGCCACTTCCCTTCCTCATTCTCCCTAGACAGTGGTTCCCTGAGGACAACCAGTCTAAAAACCTTCTAAAATGATTTCCTTTAAAAGGCAGGGGAAGTCACTTTAGCGCATCTATCACTCACTGCTTGAAATAAAACTCCAGAAACAAGTATCAACATGCACGTAGTGATGTCCAAATCCATCTAAACTCAAGCAGGGGGCATGTAAAATGTTCGGAGGGAGATAACTGATAAAGAACTTGTCTTACTTTTATAAGTTCTTCATCTCAAGGCCAAACATCACACCGGGGCAGAAGGAAAGGGGAGATTCCTCAAAACGTACACACTGAGAGACAACAGGGTACTGCTGCTCATGGATTCGTGGCTGGCCCACTGGTTTCCAAACTTGTGACTGTTCGTCCGATGAAATTCAAGCACGAGTCCAACACGTTAAGATGCTAGTGGGGCGGCTCTGGGGTATGGCTCAGAGCCTGCCTTCTGCCTTCTGCCTCCTGGGAGGCTCCCCAAGGAGCCAAACTGGGACCTCTGGGGTGAAGAACCTCCTGGAAGGACCACATGCTCCTGGTGTCCAGATGGAAGAATCTAAAACAGCGGTGCATGGTCCCCCACAACGAGCAGATGCTTCGACCCCTGCAGCTTGTGAGGGTCCCCTTATCCCAACCACACTTGATTCCCAATTGTGGGACTGAACAGAAACTACACGAATGAATTCTGGCCAAATCAGGGTGTGTACGTGGACACAGCTACAAAAGTGGGATCCGAACCCACAGCCCTGTCTCCAGGGCTCACACCTGCCCCCGCCCTGCACCCACCGCACTCAACGACCTGCCCACCTTGCTTCTGGTCTTTGCTTATTCTGAGTTACAAAACCTTTCAAAAATACGTATAGGAAGATTCTCATTTCAGAAAGAAAATATTTCCAATTTTCTTTTAACGGAGTAAACCTCTTCCATATATACTCATTCACTCTATTTTATATCTGTTAAAATTTTTCCGGAAAAACCAAACTAATCATCATGTAAGGAAACAAAAGTATTTTCTGTGACGATGCACAAATATATCTGTTTAACTGAAAGCAAAAAAATTATGAAGGGTAAGAAACATTGTTTCTGCCCTAAAGAGAAACAATGAGGGATCAGAAACAGGTACTTGCCTTTAAATGTAAATGCGTGAAGACATGTGCTTTGACTCTGAGGCAAACCAGCGGCCCACGGATCGAGCCACGTCACAACGGAACAGCTGTGTGGGCGTCACAGGGCCGTGAATCCTCTCCCCAGCGCGAGCAGTGCAGGGCCGAGCTCACACTTCAGGGCATTCTATGCTTAATTTCAGTAAATCCATCAGTCGAAGGAATAAGCAACCCCCAAAAGTTTAGGGAATATTTTTAATAACTGCATACATTTCACATCTAATTCCAGTAGGTCATAATTTCTAATGCTTATTTTTATACACAATCTAATATGTAATTTCATTTTTGTTCTTGAATGAATGTCACTAATTCACTGGCCAAGTACGCAGTCCCTGCTTCCAGTTTTTCTCTGTGAGCGTCTACAACACCTGCCCCGTGCTGCCACACAGGGAGTTTCCAACACTTCCGAAAATACCTTTAAGCATAAAAGGGAGCAGCTTTGTTTCAAATCACTTCATCCCCACTCACAGTACTTGAGGGCCGCGGTTTTCACTGAATGGTGATTCCTCTCACGTGAAGGAGTTATTAATTAAGACCGAGGCTCTCAAGTTCTCACTTGTGAGGGAAGTCGACGACTCTGATTGCCTGAGAGGTGCAGATCTTGACATCGAGACCACCCAAGACACAAGTGCGCCTGAGCACTGTTCCGAACGCGGTCGAGGTTGGCCTGAAGTGCACCGGACCCACCAGGCCAGCCTGGCTCAGCTGGAGACGGCCCCGCCTGGCTGGGGGCCGCCGTGCCCCGCAGTCAGGCTGGAGGGCTGGGGATCCAGGCCCACCTGGCCACCAACCGTCAGTGAAGACACCTGGCTCTGCCGCTGCTGTACAATTAGTTAAGTCGAATTCTTACACCTACCCTTGACAGCTGAAGGGTGTCTTGAAGAGAAGACCCCAGCTCTTGCCACCGGGCCACGAGAGTTTCAAGTACACGATGGCCGTAAGTAGGATTGGAGCTACAA